TATATATATATAAATAATAAAGCACATAAAATTACTAAAACATGAACTAAAAGTAAAAAGCAATCTGAAAATATAAAAATTAAATAAATAAATGTGCTGGTCTGACCTGTTGTTGTTTTTTTCTCTGTCCCTCAGGCCTCTCCGCAGCACTTCTGCCGTGTCCAGTTGCAGTTCAATCACTAGCATAGGAATAATGCTGCAGGATTCCAGCAATTCAGCCTGATGCTTGGTCACAGGGAAGCCATCCAACACAAACCTGAGGATCACAATGTATAGTGACACACACACACATATAGGTTATTTTTCTTGCAGAAGTACATTCTTTGATTGGGATATAGTTGTGGTCCTCACCCACGTGTGCTGCAGACCAGGCTCATTACTGCCACTTCCAGGCACTGGATGGCCAGTTTATCAGGTACAGTCAAGCCCTGGTTCAGATGCTTTTGCACTTGATTAGCCAACTCAGTTTTGGCCTGGTTGTTGAGCACCATACGTATTGCATCCCCAATTGAGAGACGAGCGAGACCATATTCATGTGCAAACACCCGGGCCACTGAGTGTACACACAGTTAAGAGGCCATGAACTACTACAAAATAATTGCTTTTTAGATATCATATATTTTTGAGTGTCTAAAGAACACTTGTAATGACTGACCTGTGGTTTTGCCTGCTTTGGGTGGGCCAATGATAGCCAGTTTGATGGGAAAGGAAGGGATGGGATGTGGTTGACGAAGATATTTGATTGGGTTGAGGATAAAGGTGTTACGTGTCTCCTTGGATGCAAAAAAGTAGATGAATTGGTGTAGGATGACAGGGAAGGTGGCGTTGAAAGGGCCCTGCAGAGGCTGGATCAAATCTCCTTCTGCATACTACAGAACATATCAGCAAACTGAGTTTTCCCTAGTTTTATTTTTATGCTGTTTTAGGCTTTTATTTACATATTAATTGAAAATTTGTTGTATATCCACCCTTACCTTAACAGGATCCCAGCACCCGAAGGCACTGGGATATTTCAAGGATCTGTACAGGAGTCTTCTGGCGAGACTGTAGCTGATTGGCTGGCACATTTGAAACAGTGACTCTCTGTTAACCATCAGAGGTTTGATTCCCTGTAGGAGCTGGTACCTCACAATCCGAGGCGGGCGGCCTGCGCTTATAACCAGACGGGGGATTTGGTTGTCTGTTAGTAAGTCCTAAAAAAAACAATCCATACTTTATTTTATTGAATTTAATTGAACAAAAGCATTAAAATCTTCCTAACAAGAAAAGTCAATTTCCTTAGGAGTTAAATGGCATAATGAACTATATATTTGTTTCTAAAATGCCCTTTCAGCATCTTCTCCTTACCATCATACTGGTGAGGTTGTTGTCATCCTTCTCAAACCTCTGACTGATCTCCATTTCCAGCTTCTCTTCTGCACCAGCTTCTGTTTCTTCATCTTCTGCCTCCTCTTCCTCCACAGCAGGAAACTCCTCCAGCAGCATGGCCTCCATCTCCTCCAATTCCTGCTGCTCTTCGTCCATCGCCTCTGATTCTTCTTGCACCTCCTCGTCATCCTCATCCTCATCCTGATGGAGCAACAAAAATCCAGTCAGAATCTGTCTGAGCCATTCAGCGAAGCAAGACACAATGACAGCGATCGATGACCTGTTCTTTGAGGGGCCTCAGAGTGGGTGGGCTGGGTTTTTTAGGTGCACATTCAGCCATAAGCTCAGCTCTTCTCTGTGTGATGGCCCGCTCCTGCAGTTTGACACAGTCAAAAAAACAAAAGTTTCACCTGCTTTATCAGTTGTTTATTTTGCCTTTTTGGTTTTTACAACCTTTTAGCCCAAGTGCTGAAGTTTTGGCTTAAACACTCACCCTGAGTTCCCTCTTCAGATTAATGACCAGACGCAACTGTTCTTGCCTGCGGTCTTGTCTCTCTCTCCAACGTGTGAGCCGCGAAGGCAGGAGACGCCGCACCACGTCAGAAACCTCGACCGACATCATTGCCACTACATCTGGAAACAAGTGATGCTCCACCATGAAGGACACCTCCTCTTGGTTTTGGGGAAATCCCTCCAGAATAAACCCTGTGGATCTGAGAGAGAAATTTTGAGCATTATTTTGCCACAAATGTGTCTTTATTTCATTATTTAGTCATCTTCATACATCCAAAACCACGTTGTTATTTTCCCTTTGAATATAGAATGAAAGTAATTTGGACTACTATATTATTTTTGATTTTTGACATAGTATCATTAGACTACAACAATAAAAACATATGCATTATGAATATTTTACTTTTAATAATAATATCTAAAACAAATATATTACTGTTATTGTTATTTGTGCCATTAAATTTGTGCAAAGGTGTTTTGTGATCTAAATGGTCTTAAATCAGTGTTGTTATTGTTAACTAAAACTGAAACTATTAAAAATCATTTTCAATCATTTAAATAAAGCTTAAAGTATAAATATTAGATGATAAACTTAAAAGACTTCGAATGTTAATGTTATGACTGAAATAAAAATATGTACCAATAATAAGTGAAAGTTCCTGAAACTGAAATATGAAAAATAATTTAAAGCTGTATAAAACATTTTTTTAAAGACTTTTAGAAAATATTAGAAAAACTAGACATGACAAAGCACATACAAGTTAAAGAAAATGAAATCTAATTTAATATATTATTAAATAATAGTATGTAAACAATAGTAAAATAACACTGTGTCAAATTGATTTTTATCTTTGTTTTGGGCTGTTTCGTTTCATTGTGAAGCTACAGTTATTTAAAAATGTATAGGCAGATAAGATATTAAAGAAAGATAACTCTTTAAAAGTGTGAGTTTTGGTCAAAACGATTATCAGTCTATTTATAGCCATGCTTTTTTTTTGTCCTTTTTGTGTGAATGAGCATTTACTTGTAGGGCTCCTGGTTCCACCACTGTAATAAAACCATTTCCAGTATCTCCAGTGGGAGAGGATCTTCATCCTGCAGGTATGCCTTTATGGCCTCCTCATCACCAGTCAATGCTTGTTCTTCCTACAAAAACACAATTACAGTTACTCTGTGGCAAGCAATGCCTCAAGACAAAAATACAAACATCACTCTTTTACCTTTATGTCAGGATTATCAGACGCAGTATCCCCATGACCTGGATTGTCGTCCTGGACTGGAGGGGACACTGTGCTCTGACCCTGGGCCTGGGCCTCCAGCAGGCCCTGCAGCTCCTCTGGAGGTTCCTCAGGGGGTTCAGTATCATCTGCATATGACACATGTTTCTGGGTCTTCCGTAAGATGAGCTCCTGCAGCCGCTCTCGGAACTGGATGTGAAAGACTCCCAGCTGCTCTGCAAGCCACTTCCCATGGGTGGTCTTCCCAGAACCTCTCACTCCTAGCATGAAGACCCGCAGCGCAGGTGGCTGGTGGCATACAAATGGTTTTGTGTTATATGTACATTATTTGTTCATATTTGTCATTTTCTATTTGTTTTCACAGATGCAATTGATGTTCAAAAGTACAAAGCAAGGTCAGAGGTCTGTTGTCACTTGCCGACGTGTTTGTGAGTTTTTATCAGTTATCTTAATAAAATAATGCTCATACCTTTAGTAGTTGTGTGTTAGAAATGTAGAGTTCAGGATTCTGTAGGAACTTTTCTTGTGCCTCAGTGCTGGAGAAATAATAGACTTTGTCTCTGTACTTTGCAGCATATTCGTCCAGACACGGTTGTAGCATACCCCTCTCTTTCAGCACCACTGGACAAAAATGCTTGGTGTCTCCCAGGTGCCTCTTAAAGCTGGCATCCTCCTGAGACCATCATAAACAAAAGAGTGGTATGATATTCTGAGAATAAGTAACAGGTGTTTTTACACTTTTTTGTGTATAAATTGTTGGTCTAAGTCAGGGTTTCCCAAACTGGGGTTTGTGAGCTGATGAAAAGCTAATAATTAAATTTAAAAAAAAAAGTAAAATTAAAATAAATTTGAATGCAAAAATGTATCCTGGCTCAACAGCCCCTTAAAACAGCATGGATTTTATTCACAGTCCATTTTACATCTCTATTATGATGTATTTTGGAGTGAAACGAGGGAGAAGGATATTTATTTAGTGCTGCATTAATGATGGGTGCAACCTCTGATTCTTGTTCCTCCTCTTCATTAACATCTCGTTTCTCAGCCTGTGTCAGCGCATGTAGGGCCTCTTCCTCCTCCTCCAGGTCTGCACTAGATATGCTCATAGCTGTGTACTTAAATGGCTCTAAGCGAGAAAGTAAAGATATAGTGAGTGAGAGGGAGTGGCTGCTAATTTAGAGTGAAAGAAAGAGCCTGAAACAGTCAGACAGTCCACTCCACATACTCTCCATATGGTAAATCATCTCTTGTAGTGTGTCCTGAGGGGTTTTGTTGCTGATGTCCAGTATAGCATAGCTGCAGGTGATTGTGTGCTCCATGTTTTCCCAATCTGCCAAAAATTGCTTCAGCTGCACACTAAAAGCCTCCATCTCTGGGCCGTCAGGATAACCATTTTCCCACACTGTTGGCAGCGCCATCTCTGCACACCCAGATATATTTCGATATGCACAAATTAAGTCATAAAATTATAACTGACACTCAAGTAAAGGTAAATAACAGTGAGTGCTGAAGAAAAAAATATAAAGAAATATAACAAACCTTCATCGTTTAGAGTTTTGTCTTCTTCATCAGACTTATCAAAACTCTCTGCAAATACATAGAAGTTACTTATCAAAACATACTTTAACATTTAAATGAAAAAAGCTGAATTTTAAGAAGCCATTACTCCAGGTGTCAGTGTCGCATGATCCTTCAATCATTCTAATATGTTGATCTGCTGCTCAAGAAATATTTTTTAATATGTTGAGAACAGTGATGCTTAATATTTTGAGGAAACCATGATGCATTTTTTTATACTTTGATGAATAGAAAGTTAAAAAAGAACAGAATTTATGTGAAATACAAATAACCTTTGTAACATTACATTATTATGGTAGTGTATGCGCAGTGTATGACTGATGACTTCCAGCAGTTTCATTACTGTCAGTGTGAATGTAGAGTATCTGTTGTTGGGAGATGTTAAAGAGTTCTACCTGACTCCTCATGCAGTGTCTCTAGTTTGGACTTGGTGTCAGTAGGCTGTGAACCTTTCTTTGAGTCCTCAGTGTGTTTCCTGCAAAAAAGCATAAAAATATGTTGAAAACAGTACCTTACCACCATTTTAAAATATGTAAACCACCACTTTATTACATTTCCATTATGCAATTGTTAACTGTATCTTAAACATTGTTTTTCTCCACAGGTTTTTGAGATCCATTTAAATACAATTTGATCTGAATGAATATCTAATTTAAACCTGGAAGCAGTTCGAGGATTTTGAACATTTTGAACGTTTCATAATATTTTTAACTGCAAAGTTATTAAATTAGAAAAGAATGCAAAATAGAAGGATTTCCTCCAGTGATTTAAAATGTTTATTTCTCACTGTATATTTTCTGAACTGCTCGTATATTAGCCACACTCACAGTCTCTCATTGATGTCTTGTGTCTTCTGCAGTTTTCTTTCTTTTTGTAGGCGGGCCAGCACAGATCTATCCACCTGTTCTTTATTCTGTTCATACATCCTGGTTAGTATAGTCCTTCCTTCAATAAATAGCAACAAGTGACCATCACAACTAAGTGGACGTCATGGCCTAAACAACCATAGAAGAGTATCTGATGTCAAAATCAGGACTAAGAAATGATGGATGCACATATTCATCAAAATACATGTCTTTTTCTCACCCTCTCCATCATTGTCTTTCAGACAGAATAGGATTTCTGGTGTTACAGCACTATGTAGTTCCTCAATAGTGATCAGCTGGGATCTGCTGCTGGCAATGTTGTCCAGTATCCATCCCCTTATATGTTCAACATCTTCAGGCTCAATCTAACAACCCACAGGCACTCTTAAACACAAATAATGCTACATAAGTATGAGAGCTAAAGGAGGAAGCTCAGCGGTCTACCTCTCTTATGTGCTTCTCAAAGGCCTCCAAAAAAAGCTCCCGTGGAGCTGTGGCTGGAGACTCTGCTGCTTTCTTCACAGCATCCTCCACAAAAGCTTGAACATCTGGGTGATCTTCTGTCACCTCTATTGCTGTAAAAAGGACACATTACCAATTCAGGGTTATTTTATTATTATTTATATACTATTATAGTATTCATTCATATTTTGAATTAGATTTAATTTTTATATTTTCAGTTTTATTTTTAATAATTATTTTAATTTAAAGGGGTCATATGATGCGATTTCAAGTTTTCCTTTCTCTTTGGAGTGTTACAAGCTGTTTGTGAATAGATAAGATCCCTAAAGTTGCAAAGACTAAAATCTCAAACCCAAAGAGATATTCTTTATAAAAGTTTAGACTGGTCCACGCCCTCCTAAAACGCCTTGTTTAAACACGCCCCCACATGTCTACGTCATGATGTGGGAAGATTTGCATAACGCCGCCCAAATGTTCACGCAAAGAAAGAAGGCGTAACTTTATTGTTGCTGCCACCGCCGCCGCCACGTTGTGAAGACGCTGTGTGTTTTGTTGCGAAAGCGAAAATACTTTGTTTGGCCTTCCAAAAGAGGACACGACTAGAAATCAGTGGTTAAGTTGTATTTACAGCACTGTTCCAGAACAGTTCAAACCAAATATTCAGATGTGTGCA